AATCGCTTAAACAGCCTAATCATTTCATAGCTCAAGGAACAGTTCAATACAATAATTCGCAAAAACCATTTTGTGGAAATGAATATAATTTGTCTTGTAGGATACACAATAAGGTACTAATTCCTCAGATCGAAGTCATTCAATTGTGAGTTCTGTATGACCTTCTAACTTAAAGTATCTCTTGCATTCGTAGTAAGATTATGCTCCTATAAAAAAAAAAGAAAAAATATTTATTTTTATGAAACGAAACAATTACCCATGTGTAACATTGCCGTCTTGACCCTTCAAGAACAACTATGGCCAAATTGTGCCATTTCGTTTCTAATATAATTATAGTTTTATCATGCCTTCTTTCAATATCCTATACCATACAACTAGATATATTATGTGACTCTGATCTGGTACGTGTGTTATTTGTGATAAAGCCCCGTAACATGGTGTATCACAGAACAATTGTAGTAGTTATCATTTAACATATAATATTTATATATCATAATAATCTTAAAAGATAGATAAATGTTGACGAATCATGATGGATGCGCATGAACATGATGTGAGAATGCAAGCGCTATAGTGATGTAGCGACAGATGACAACGGGTGGTAGGTGGTAGTGGACGAGTGTTTTAAAGAAGGGAAGAGAAGAGCTACCGCAGCATCATCTCAAGATGTGAAAAGATGAATAACGGAGCTCAATAATGGGGATGAACAAAAGTGCTGTACTTGAAATCAATGGATCATATTGGCGAGGGCACTCTGACGTGCTCTTTTTGCTTCCTCTTCACTGATCCTTTGCTCAATTAAATATTGAGCAGTGCCGATTGCATTAGGATAACCCGTGATAGTCACTATCCGGTTCCTGGTACCAGGAGCGAACATGCCCTTTTTAGAGATTTGTATGCTGGCGCCACTTAGGTGCTGAATCTCAATGAGGGCACGACCACCGGGTCCCAGAATAGCTCCCACTATAACCTCTGCAATTTCTATGTCTACTTTCTTGGTCTCCTTGTTGCTGGCGTCTACCTGTGTAGGACTCTTACTTACAAGTGATAACTGGTTAGTGCCCAGGCCAAACGAATTGTTGTTTAGATGAATAGCACTGGCAGCTGTGTTGTTTTGTCTGAACGGATCAAAGGGCTCGTATCTGTCAAGTGTATTACGTGGTGTAGGAGACGTGGATCCAAGTGCAGGAACTGTTCCAATTGGCCCAAATACGCCGCCGTTATTATTCGAACCATTTGCAGTTGTGGTGCTATCCATAGGATTTCCAAGGTAACTCATACTAGAAGTCATCCCGATGCCCATTCCAAGAAGATTATATTTAGCAAGTGTAGCGATAGCAGACAAAATTTCACTAGCAGCAGGTTCCGAAAAACCTGCCGTTCGTAAATTTAATTTTATATGTTCCAACAATTGCGTTGTCACTGGTGCTGTACCCGCTGTAATCGCAGCTCCTAAATTCAAGTTCAAGCTTAAACCAGCACCGTTCAAGAGACTCACTGTGAAGAAAAATAACCGACAATGTAGCAAACACGCATTCACCCCTATCATTCTGCAAATATTATCTTCTCTTTCGAAACATTCCAACAGCTTACCTGTATTAATTCCAGTTGTAGAAGTATATGTGGGAGTACTTGTAGGTGCTTGAGCATAAGGACTGCCTGTGGGATTGTAATTAGCTACAGGACCACAAACATCTGCATAACTAACATTTGTGCATGTACCACTTTGTGGATCATCTGCCACTTTTGCTAATATCATCATTAACGCGGTACGGTTATTTTCCTTATCGCCAATTACCGTTATACATCGTTCTTGCAAAGATACATCCTTTGCCTTCTGACTTATTTGAATATAAGAGCCAGATTCTTCTTTAATTTGTTTAAAAATTTTTACTTAAAAAATTACATTAATTACTTTAGGCAAATGAGAGAATTTTAGAAATCAATGTACATATAAATACTTAATATGTAGGTCATTGCTAACAAGAGGTAAGTTACAACTTTGCGACATATAGATTCTGTATAGATAGAAACAAAGAATATAAATACAATTTTTACCTGTTTATCCCTCTCTGCTGAAGTTTTCCCCGATTCAAAGTCAACAGTTGTCTTCAATGTAAGATCTGGTTTCTCGCGAATTTTATCCATAATAAATTCCATAACTGCCATTATAGCTTCTAAACTACCGGTTATTAAACATACTCTCTCTGTTGTTCCTACAGATCAAGCAAAATTACAAAGAGACAACAATATTATACTGTCTGCTGCTGCTGCTGTAGCAACAAACATAGTGCATGTAAGTATTTTCAACATACCTGGGTAGAAATCATGGGATTTAGACATTTTGACCCTAGCTCCTGTATCTTTTTGCAGTTGGGCAATTGTATCCCCACCTTTCCCAATGATTGCTCCGGCAGCCACGCCAGGGACCAATACTTTGAGGTGATATGTTCCATCTCCTCCTGTAAAACACAATGTTGAGAAATTACATCATTAGTTGAATGAAAGATAACATTTATGTGCATATTACAGGCTAACACATAACAGAATACACAAGATCATTAACACTTTCAATTCTTTAAGCATTCATACAGTTACACAAAAAATTATGCTTGCTACATTGATATAAACAACATATATGTATATGCACATGGTGATGTCAGATTTAAAGGTTTTAAATTTGTTTCCATGAATCACAATTATTCTAAATATACCGCGGATGAATTAATATTCTTGAAAATTCAAGGAAACTCCAGTTCACTAATAAACTCAATTTTACAACTGTTTCCACTAAAGAACCACACTACTCCGATATTCGTGGCAAAACTTGTGACTTCTGATTGGTTTCTGAAACGGGGAGGGGAACGCGAAATCATGCGTACTCACGGATAGGCGAGCGCCAAAGACCAATACCGACGAAAACGCAGCACGAGCCACGAAAAATGTGATTCGCGTAATCGTCAAACGAGGGATAAAGAAGTGCAATGCAGAATGACAGAAAGTTTCGATGCGTTGAAGGCAAACAGCTGTTTGACAGATGGAAGCCCTGTGCGCTCACTCGCTTCGCATCGACCTTGACCCGCAACCTCGGCAGCGGAACGGTGTGCCTGACAACTCACCGATACGCCACATCCTAGTAACTGCCACTCAACGGATAGCAGCGCGTTCCTTAGTACGCCGTTTTCGCGACAACAGCGGTGGCACTGCACTATGGGAGAATGCGGCAGAGAAATGTACACAATATGTGTACGGATGGAGCGAGGTGTAGAGCCACTTCCAACGTTCTTGCCGCGAGGCTAGCGGTCGCACGTCCGAACAAACTGCCGCGACAGGGACGAAGTTGCAGAGTCACGGAGTATGATCGACAGCCACCGCAGCAGCAATTCTCCATTAACGACGTTCACAGGCACAGTCGCCCACGCAGGAACAATGACGACGACGACGTCGACGGCCACAATGACAGTAATGACACCACCACGACCACTACCGACCACTACGACCACAACAACCACGACGACGAAGACAAGGAAGGCGAATAGAAATAATAAGGACAGTGTTGACGATGACGATGACAAGGAGGGGGGAAAGGTACAACGAAGAGGAAAACGACGATGACAATGATGACGTTGACGATAGTAAAATGAACGTCAACGTTAGAAACACCGTTACAGGTGTCGAATATGAGTTTGCGCTTAATGATATCAGGGGACAGGAGATAGGGAAACAGATCGAGAAAATAGGTAATAGAGAGACGGGAAAGAGAAGGAGACGTGGCACGAGAGGATGCGCGAACCGCTGTGCGGTGCACCGTGTTCGCGTTCTCGCCTCCGTGTACACGTTCGCCAAGCTTTGAGAAGTGGGAAACGAAAGGGAACGGCCGAGCAGGCGAGGGAGCGAGCTAGCCAGCGAGCGAGCGAGCGAACGAACGAACGAGCGATCGCTGTGTCAACAGCAGCACCAGCGACAAGATTGTCAAAGGCGCGCGAGAGAGTAAAAAGCAATAAGAGGCGAGGAAAAGAAAAAGATAAGGATAGAGAAGGCAAAGAAGAGTGAGTGAGAGAGTGAATGAGTGAGTGAGTGAGAGAGAGAGTGAGTGAGTGAGTGAGAAAATCATTGTGAGTGTACTTTATCGTTCATATGTGTATAGGGAACGTTGAGACGGAGGTACGTTAGGGAATATTATATAGGACGGTCGACAGTCGATAAATGATTGACAACGCGCAATTAAAATACCTGATCCGTAATGAGACCTCTTCGTCGCGCCATTTTCCGCGTCACAATCGAGCGGCCGCTTCCTGGAGTCTGCAATCTCCGGGGAGGGACACGTCTCCATTCCTGAGTCGGCAGCCATCTTGTCTTTTCGGTCGGGCACGCCAAGAGAAACGAGGAGAGAGAGATAGAGTAAGACAGAGATGTACTTTGACACAGAGACGATAGTCGCGACCGGTGGCAAGTGTCGTTGAAAGCAAGCGAAGGGAGACGCACCACACACGGACCGGACGAACGAATGAACGTACGTACGACCACGATAGGTTTAAGCGGAAGGGAGATGACGGACATATAGACACACGTATAGACGAACGAACAAACGACGAAAGCCCTCGCGGGGTACCGCGTCTCACTGGCGACTGCTCGCGGCTGCCTTGCCAACCAGCTGGTTGATACTCGATGGTGTGCCTCGGCCCTCGCGTTCCTCTCTCGCCACCTCTCTGTCTCCCTCGCTCTTCTATCGCTTCTGATCACCAATGTGCTCCTCTCTCTTTCCCACCAGCCCTCGCGAGCTCCGTTCTGCAGGGACGTACGTATTCAACCTGCACCAGGGGCGTCTTATCTTTTGGGCCCTTGATGCATTCACGCGTATACTTTCCACGTTTCAACGAAACATTCGAACCTCGACGAACGAACTCGCTGCTTGTTCGTTTCGCGTCTCTCTCGTTTTTCTTATCGATTCGAAAGTTTATTTTCGTTGGTTTGCCTCGTTTCTTCACTCGACAATAATAATTTTAACGTTACATTACATAATTTATTGTATTCATTTTACCGCTTTTGTAAGCTCCACCGTCCAATTTAGCATTTCGTAATAAACGATTCGATAATTTGTAATGTGCGTCGCGATTGATTTATCGTGAATCCGCAGTTAGATCGACGGAATCGCTATCGATTGATTTTACTGCTAACCGTCGTGCAATTGCACTTGTGACTTACTGTGTTATATTGCATTTATCTATATACGTATCTACACATAATGCGTTCATTTCGTGTCGTTTCGTTTCGTTTCGTTTCGTTTCGTAAACAAGGAAAAAGTGAATTTAAATTTCGTGTTTTCTATTGTACCAGATATTATGCATAGTATGAGAAAACTCTATGCTGTAAAAATATTTTTCCTCCCAAGGCCGTTAATCTTGTTGTCGTTGGTGCGCACTGCAGTATGACATCATAGTTCATGTGCAAGTGAATAAGATACATTTGATTTCCTAACGACGATTTCAGAAGTACGATCGTAGTTGCTTATCAGCCACGATGTTTAGATCGCTCTTTTATCAACGCGTATAGATTCGTGCCACTATATGATATGGTAGTTCACGTTAACGTATCGATATGTTCACTGTTCAAACATAGACTAATTATCAAGAATTGTAAGAAAGTTTCGTTGTGAGTGTGCCATTAGAATATCTTCGAAGCTAAACCTGTGTTTGTCATAGAATTCGTTAACTGTACATTGGGGGAACGGTCGAATTCGTTATCTTTAGGCAGTTGAAAGGTACACCCAGCCATTTTTCTTTGAAAGTGAAATCATAGAACATACCACGTACACGTGTGCATGACATACGTGCATGTGCTCTTTACAAATATTTTTATACGCGCATATAGTTAAAGTTATGAAGAAAGAGGTATTTTTAAGAGCCTTATCTGAGGAAAAAAAGCAGATAGTGTGAGCTATTGGTTTATAATGAATCACGTGCTTAAAACTGTGATTCTTTTTACGTTAAAGTTTGCACAGAAAAAATTACTGCAACTAACTTTTAACGAATATTATACCGATCGAAAAAAAACAAATGTTTCATCACTTTTTGTTATTCTAACGTATCGCGTTGTATAAATAGAAATTTCATAGAAAATCAAGGTCTTGCATTCGTGTACGTTTAAACGGAAAAGATTGACAACGTTATTGCATTATCAACGTGTACGATCAAACTAACTTCCATTACGGCACAATAGATTTTTTCTAATGACTAGAAACAACACAGTCATCGTCAAAACTCGCATAGATGTTTTCTAATACCGATTACGCGCTCATGTGACTAAATGGTACTGCTGTGGCACACTGTAAATCATATTTGCAATGATTCACCTTACGAAAAATATACTTTCCAAAAATACACATTATTTATTTCTTCTTAACTGTGTCGATTCACTATCAAGAGGAGTAAAGTCCGAAGTTGCAGTGATGTCAGGCGATACGTAATTTACGTAGATAAAAATTTATTTCGCATTACAAAATTATCGTACAGATCCGTGAACGAGACGTTACTACATACACAGAGGCTTTCAATCACAGTCGCGTGTCGCAATGCTGTTACTAGTTGTGAATGCAGCTCATCGTTGAGACGACAAAAGCGACAATACGTGAATCGCGCGGTTCTTCCTTCCAAAAGGTTGTCTTTAAGCCACGAGGTGGCTCCTGAGTGCTATTATAAACGTTCACCTGATAAAACGAACAACTTTCAGACACGTGCACGCACGGTATCCCCAAGATCTTTGTCTCACCTGTGCGAACAAATTTGTCCATCTTGTGACACTTCCTGTTCAACTCCTCGTGTCTCTGTTTGAACTAAAGGCGCGAACACAACGACTGTTGGTCGCGTGTACGTCTCTCACTCTGTTGTGTCTCAGATCCGATTATATGTATAGGTGCATGTAACACGTATGCTGTCATGAATTTTTCGAGCGATAGAACCACTAGCGTTGCTCGGTATATAATCATCGCACGACCTCGCTCGATTGCACTTCTCTCCCATACGACGTGCACTGTGTTTCATTCCTGATTATACTAACAAGTTTTTAGCTTCTGCTTGAAATAATCTATATGACAATGAATAATATCGCACGTGTGTATATGAGAAAATAACGATAAAGAAACGTCAATTTGAAATGTCAACTGTTGAATTGAAAATTTCTCAAAAACTTGATCTTTCGAATCTGTCCGGATTGAGTAAGAATCTTGGAAATTTTTCCCTTATTGCGTCACATGTCCAACACTCGGATGAGCTAGCGTCTCTAAATAAATATATATAGTACTATTACTAACCGGTTTATCGTGCGATGTGATTTCCGATTGTGATACTTAGATGGTTCTTAGAAGAGTTACCTAACCGCTAAAGGAATAAGTTCCTTTTTAAAATGTATTGTCCTTGTCCCACAGCTAGTCAAGAGAACGAGCTAGATCTCTGCACTCTTTTAGACTTCGGGTTAGCAGGCTGTCCATCTATACTTAAGCGTGAGCGCACATTGTGCTGCACGCACGATGCATACATTTAAATGATTATCCAAGGCCGTTGCTTACAGACACATCAACATACGGCTGTTAATACATTGCTCATAAAACTGCGACTCGTGTCTTATAAAGTTTTTCATCTCTAATATCGATAAGATTAGATTTTCACACATTTTAAAGCTTCAAACATGTACATAAATCGCATTTAGACGAATGGAAATTTTTCAAAATATGCAACAAATTAAATGAATTCTAGATTCAGGTGTGCCCTAGTGCATGAGTAATAGGGATAATTCAACAAATATATTAGTTTTCATGCATCGAATATTATGCAAGCGGAACAGTACGATTCCTTGCTACGTTGACCTCATTTCTCGGTTGACCTTAATATCATACAAGGTACTCCAAGTCGATCTATAGAATACCTTCGTCCTATCAAGTTTTTTGGAAACTGCTACATCTACCAGCAGAATGTAATTACAAATGTAATTTTTTTTATATGAAAATAGCAATTTGAATAATAAATATATTTTTATTTGATCGCAATTACGCATTCAATTATTTTATATTCTACCGCTGAAAAGTGAGTGGCTTAGATTGCGTGTTTGCAACGTAGTCAACTTTATAATTATTTATAAAAAGCATTAAAGTGGTTAATGCTGACAACATAAAAAAATTTATCTAGTTTCACTTGTAACTTTCTATTTTTTACGAAATACAAATTTCTATTGTCTTTTTCTTAATGTATACAAACACTAGTTTGACTACGTAAGTAGTTAGCTGAAGGAAAACATAACCTTGTTCTAAGCCTCGGATAATACACTCATTACCTTTGGATAATTACGTAACGTGATTTGATATTGTGATAATTATACATCTTGCGATAAAGATGTTGAAGTATTTTGTAAGCTTAGATCGCTACTGTATGCACACAATTCGTAATGGATGACAGTACCGTTGAAACGCAAGTAAAGATTTTATTTTTTGCTAAAGCAAGAGAATTAACGGGTAAGAAAGAATGTTACATTACTGTTCCAAAGAAATTATCATATAATAATTTAAGGGATAGAGTAATTAGTCAATATAAGTTAGAAGATATCCGTGACACTTTGATTTTGGCAGTGAACGAAGAATTTGTTTCTTCGAACGCAACATTAGTACTTTCAGAAAAAGACGAGATTGCTGTTATTCCACCACTTAGCGGAGGTTTGTTTTATCTTTAATGTGAATGGAACAATAAATTTTTTTGTAATATATAAATCAATATTATGGTATCAAAAGTACTTATGTATGTGGTGTTTTTAGGTTAGAATGGTTACTCCAAAGGACATTGTTAAACTACAACATGAAGAGTTAAATTTTGGAGAAATAATTGATTTGGTAACATCTCCCAATTGTGGAGCTATATCCAATTTTATTGGTATTACTCGCGATAATTTTGATAATAAAAAGGTATCTATTTGTTTAAACTTCAGTTATAAATCCAAAGATGTCACTCATACATGCATATATTTTTTCTAGGTTTTAAAATTGGAATATGAAGCATATGAACCAATGGCATACAAGGAAATGAATAGTATATGTTCAAAAATTCGTTCTCAGTGGAATGTTCATCATATTGCTATATATCATCGCCTGGGAGAGGTACCAGTATCCAAAGCAAGTGTAATGATTGCTGTTTCTTCACCTCATAGAGAAGAATCACTGGAAGCTGTTAAATATGCTATAAATTCATTGAAAGCATCAGTTCCAATTTGGAAAAAAGAAGTGTATGATACACAAGATGCACAATGGAAGGAAAATCGGGAATGTGCCTGGTCAAATAGTAAATAATATATTTGATATTATTTTGACACTTTAATTTTAAGAAAAGACGGAAAACTGTAATTTAAAAAAGACATTCTGCAAAATTACTTAATTTTGAAAACTTTAAAATGCATTTATTTTGTTATGGAATGTTAATATACATTATGTTCGTGTAATGTATCATAAAATTGTTGAAACTCTGAAAAAGATTTTATGTTGAATTCATAAAAATGTTAATAAATCGTTGATAATAGTTTTGTAATTTTAAAACCATTCACCCATTTTGTGATTGTTTTTTTTTTTTTTTGTTAAATGAACCTACTTATAATATTAATATATTCACCAAAAGTACTTATTCAATGAATACGTGTTTTGTACAGTTGAAGATACGATTGATTTACAAGAATCAGAAAATATTACAATATCAAATGATACAGTAGAAACTGTAGTAGAATATGATGGTGAAGAGGAGGAGGAAGAAGAAGAAGAAGAAGAAGAAGAAGAAGAAGAAGAAGAAGAAGAGGAAGATGAATTTAGAGTAGTAATCGATCCAAATCTTGTTCAAATTCGTGCTACACCAGACGAATTAAATCATAGAATATCATCTTTCATTGAAAGAAAACGTCAACAAGTAAATATCGTGAATGTACAAGAATTTTGTTGTCACAGGTTTGTTATATTTTTATGGAAAGGTATTACTAAACTCTTCATGGTTTTAGAAGGTGTATAATATTACTTCATTTTAGACACCAAAGTGATGAAAATGAGGATTCATGTGCAAGAGTAGATGCTATTCTTATTCGGAGGAAAGATTCTAAAAGTCACGTGAAAGGTAAAATAAAATTACGGTTGATATTGATCGATATTAAAATTTGTATCTATGAATTTGTTTAGTGCACAGAGTACTGAATGCTTGGGGACCTCAAATGGTTGATCAATATACTTTGCGTAAGGCCACTATGTTGGGAGCAAGTACAGCAAATAATTATTCGTACGTATTAGACGATAGGATCTCGACTACTGAAAGAATTCTTGGTATGAATCGCCCAGTCCCCAAAGACGTATACGAAAGACTTAAAAATATCGAAGATCGAATACTGTATTTAGAAGGAATATCTCCCGAATATAAGGATTTTTGGGTAAACTTTTAATTACATATGATAAAATTTTATAAATCATATTTTTGGTCTTTGAACTTGAACTTTTTTCAGAACACAGATGACATTATCAACCTTAAAGGAGTATTTAAACCTGTCAGGAAAAGGGTAAGTATTGTAGATATTTTTTTAACTTGCATATTTTTACTCATAAAGACTATTTATTCTAAAAAAAATTTCAGACATATTCTATGGCAGAACTTGATTCAAAACTACATGAATTAGAGGATAAATATGTTAAAAAAATGAAATAATTGTTTTTACAAAAATGTACAAGACTGAACGTTTATTTATACTTTGTTAAATATTAGAAATAAATAATATACTTGTTACATACATAACATTTGTAGTAGTTTGCTGTTTATTACTAAAAAATATGATTAGTACCAATTAATACATGTTGATGAATCATGATGTGCATTCGTAATTAAATAATCAAAATTCTAGTTTCGTCGTGATGAGAGTGTTGTACAGGCATGTCGAAAGGCGGGGCCTATTCTTTCCTTGGCGGGGTCGAAACTTTTGTTCGGAGATGTACCCACTATTAGTTCGTGTTTCGGTTGATAGAGGCAGTCTTCGTCGTGCTGCCATACGGTATGGCTGCGGTTTGTCGAAGTTTTCTCTTTATCCTGATATAATTTCAAGTGAATCATTGATAGTAATGTGTTATTCGTCCGGAAGTTCAACGAAAATTAGCCGTCCTTTCGAATGCTGGTAAGTACTGTTATAAAATTTATTTAACTGCATGCATCATCTTGTGTTTGCTGAGCACGCGGCCAGCACGTCGTCTGCCAGGGTGACAAGCACCATCCTTTTTCCTCTCAGCTGAGTCTAAGGACCGCTCAATTTCGTTGCTTTCTTAGTTTTTGTTTTGTTTGTTTCCGTTTGTTTTGACATAACAGTCCGCTCGTTTTTTTCAATCGTATACCATCGGTATTAAACGGTGACAATAAATCGAACGAATCGCAATTACGGAAAAGAATAAGCATTCTTAGTTTTCAATGAATTTTTGACTTTTGGCCATCTTGTCGATTTTCGTAACGCGGAATAAATTTTTCGTCTTACGACGCTCGATCCAGTCTAGTCAAATTTCTGACAACCGTAGCTCGCTTCCTGGCTTTCCTCATCGAAAAGCATCGTTTATTTTTACGCGTTCTATTTTTGTCCTGGCACATGGGTTTCTTCTAATAGTTTTCTTAAATGTTAACGAAATAAGGCGATACGTTTCAGGCGCAAACATCGCAGCGGCAGTGACTACAGTATAGACAAATCGTCGCGTCTATTCGTCTACCAATAGAAACAAATTGAACGCCAAACAACCAAATCTTAAAAAAAAAAAACGAAAAGAGATCGTATTTATTTATAATATCGCGTTAAAAAACAATCGACTCGAAATGACTTCATTCATGTCGAATTTTTATTTCTATCGTGAAACACTATCGTCTTTCTTACCGTGTCCAAACGAAAGCAAACGTCAATCGATGTTACGAAAAACCACCCTTAAGCCAATGACGCATCGGCAGAAATTAATAGGTTGCTCGATAATGCGGGTTTCAGCTTGCTAAAACCCGCGTGCCGTTTCTATTGCAGTGTGCACTAATAATCGCATCTTTCACTAACGGGCGCAGGAAATATGATTATGAACCGTACACGGTAGCCAACGATTTCTATCTTGATTTACGAGCGTGCAATGGTTAAAAGAGAAAATCGTGTCGAGAGCGTTACCAGAACAGAAAGGAACGCAATTTGAAAACGCGCAATCGTTTCTCAACCAACTACCAACCGATATTCATCCACCTATGAAAAAAAGAAAAAAAAAAAGAAAGCAGGGAAAACAAGTTGTCGTGTAAATTGAACGCGTTTCACGAGGGTTCGCCACTAGGAAACCCTTCACAGATGCGCGGTTACGTTCGCCAGCGATTAAAACGACAAACGTGCCAAGCTGTTGGGAGACTGACAGTGAATTCTTCGCGTAGGTTCACCGCTGAAAGACATAATTTGCTCGTGCGGTTAAGCGATTCTAATTGAACCGTAGCGTCGCGAAACGATCGTAAATAAGATTTCGTTTCGCTTGTTATCAGTCTCGCTATCTTAATTAGAAATTCACTTGTATCCAAATATTCCGTATCTTTAATTCTATTATTTTAAATTATACATTCAGACATATTTTCTTGCGAAAAATTAAAAGGGAATAATTTCTAACCTCCTGAACAATTTATTCAGGTAAAATTCTCAGAAAATCTGCGCCTTTTTTTTTTTTTGAAAAGCTGTGCACTATAGTCAGTTTTCCTTCCAAGACTTTCGACAAAAGTAAATGCCTGGAGGCAGTCAGGGACCTCGTTTACCTTTCCCTTAAATTCGCAGGGGACCAAAGTTCCTTTCATACCCAGAAATCTCCAGGTATATATCGGTTTGTTCGTATTCAGGAAAATGTGCAAAGTGTAGTGTATATGCGTAGAATATATTCCACCGCTGTGCATACTAGAAAATCTCTCAGATTTAACGATCGTGCACAGATTTTCCTCGTGGATGGTTGTTTATTGGAGTAAATAAGAGGACGCGGTTTTAAGTGGATTTTAACGAGTAACACTGCGCGTCGCGCGCAGTTTTTCGTTTCTACGTGCCACGCTGTATATATGTATATGTATATATGGAGAGCAGCTATTGTACAGGCTAATGGGGGGAGCTTCGAGCATGATTTCTCTTAATCACGGCATGCAAGAACGTACAAGTGGCGTAACGCGCGTTCCACCTAGCTGATGTAAACAGAATTTCAATAACTCGCGGAATAGAATAAGAGGGCTTGGTTACACGATACAGATCTCTCTGTTGGTTGTGGCCCCGATGCAGCTTTAATGTGCAACCACTCGCCACTTTTGTTTTTTCCCCCTCTTCTGTCTCTCTACTCGTCGCGGTGAGTTCATTTACTTTTTCTTCGATTTCCACGCCAGACCCGTTCCGGTCTTCTAATTGGACATATGTTCAGCGAGGATAATGAGAAGAAAGTTACTTCCGAGATTATTATCGCTTCGAGTAATATATAATTGTCGTTTATCGACGTTAACGTTATTAATTCTACTGCTGTAATTTCATTCATTCATTCTGCGAGTTAGTTTCGTCTTCTCTTACGATGAAACGATATGACGAAGTTCGAAGTATTTTAAAAAATTTTTTAATTTTAAATTTGTATTTAAATTTAATTTTTAATTTCTGTTTTTCAATTTTCTTACG